TGTTTAAGTTCAAAGATGTCACTCAACATTTATAGCAATTAAGACTGTGTATGCCCTGAAAATATTGCGGCTTTTTTCGACCTCTTTCAGCAAATATGAACGTATCCACGAACCGTAATCTTACTACGATCGCGTGAAAAAGGTTGGGGATGTAGTGCTTGTTGTTAATTAGAATGCTCCACGCGGTCAGTGGCATCTGGGTCGAGTGGAAGAGGTGTTCCCAGGTCAGGATGGACAGGTGCGCGTCGTCCAAGTGAGCACAAGGGGCCAGAAGTTTATACGCCCGATAACTAGGCTATGCTCGTTGAACGTCGCAGGCCAGTCAGAGTACAAGCCCTATAGAGAAGAGCTGAGGAACCGGTGCCGCTCTTCGGGGGGAGAGGATGGGCACGCGAGTTCTTATTTGTTTGTTGTTTTTGTAAGCGCCAGGCGCACCCCGTGTGGGGGACTGGAACTGAGATTAAAGGTTGTTGTGAGCACATGGAATTAATATGTCTGAGGTGTGCTTTTAAACCTAGACTTAAGAATTTCCCACGCCTAGGAATCTCCAAGCATGAAGCGATACAGGTAATTATTGAGTTTTGAAAATATTCATACTTACTTTGCGCCGACGTGTGGTGCCCTTTCATTTAGGAAATCATTCGCTTGGATGAGAATTTTACCTTTATAGACTGATTTTTCGCCATTCCACCTTTTCTGTGCCTTTACGAACGGGTGTCCGTAATCAAAATATGAAAACATTTGTTCATTTCATATACTGGCAGTTTTATCAACAAGTTATCTCTCATGAACAGACTAACACTTGTTTAGCTCATATAATGGTAACGTTTATAAAGGGAGTGGAAATCGAAGAAATTGTGATATGTTTGCTGCGTCAAGGTTCGGCAAAAATTATATAGGCGATTAATTGAGGGCGCTAAAGGTATGTAATATCTGAGACCGTCCAACATGATCGGTTACTTTATCTTGAGTTAAGTCTTTATTGATATCAATCGATCGTAGATCTCTGTTACATGTCTTTGGTACGTTTGCTTGTACCTGTTACTACAACTGCTACTTTATTTCCCGAACAGCTCTATTTGTTTTACACGAAAGCATTTTCAATGAAACCCACTTTTTATTATTATTATTATTATTATTATTATTATTATTATTATCATTATCATTATTATTATATTTTTATAACTCAGTCATTTGGAACTTTTACAGGCACATGTATGCTTACCTGAAGTATATTCCACTCTCTTGCTTGTGCATTGCATTAAGTTATGCAAATAATCAACTACTCTTCTTCTTCCATTAATTTTTTTTTGGATTAGCTTTGCTTTGCTTTACATAGTTTCCATGTGCTTAAGGAATCATACACATCACATGCTCTGAAGCACTGTAAGGATAATTATGATCCCTATAATATGTAATATTACTATATTACATATTATAACCCATCCATTAATTTTGGCGCGATTTTATTGGTTACTTTACGTCACGTGGTGCAAAATCACAGGACAGTTATCACGCAATAACCCCCGTCCGCGTCGATATTTGTCCTCCAATTTTTTTCGTGAAAAAGAAACATAGTCAACACAAGAGTTTTAACTTTCCCGTTCTCCTATTTATATGGAAGGAAACCAAACTCGTCTTTTTGAGTCTAGCGATAGTGACATTAAGGAGCTGGTCGCAAAAGCTGTTCTGGAAAGTACAAAAGAAGACAACGAAATATGCTTTCAATGTCTTTGAAGGTGAACCAAAAGCGACAAGTTTTAGAGTTTTTTATCCAAGGGGCGTTATGTAAAATAAATGAACCCCGTTCTGGCTTGCTGGTATGTCGGCTGATAATTTTCTTGGCTGAGAGATTGTCCTCAAAATTTCATATTTGCCCTCAAAGCTTCGCTTCTCGGCCAAATATTCATTTTTCGGACAATCTCTCAGCCGCGGACATTATCAGCCGACATACCAGCCGCCCGAAGGGGTTTATTTACTACGTATCCCCACAGAACATCATTATGAAATATTCCTATTTGACTTGTAACCGTTGTCTTTCAAGGTGGCAAAATATATGTATATTGCTGAAACTAGCTGAGAATTTCTTATTGACCACAACTAGCATAGCCACACCAGTGCTACCCTCCCCAGTAATAAGTTGGGAAAAGGACATCTGTATGGTGCTATCATTGTTCATGTTTGGGAATATCCCATCCCTGATTTTTATTGGACTGGATGGGCACAGCAGTACACAGGCTAACTACAAGCTTTTGGTTACTCCTCTTGACTTAGTGTTCACTGGGAATTGACACTGAGCTGACTTAATCTAATCAATTTTCTCCTGATCATTTTTTAGCAAACAACTTTGACTTCAGAAATACTTCTGATAAATTCCGTCTGACGTTTCTAATTTGGAAGAGTAATCACCATAATCATTATGTTCTTAAAACCTCCATAAACACCCAACAAGAGTTCTTTGTTTATAACTCAGGCAGCTTCTGAATATAAGAATTCAAGTTTAGAAGATAGTTGATTCATTCAAGGCTGTTGCAATATGAGAAAAAACATTACAGTGCATTATTATCCAACTGAGCTTCGTAGAGTACAAATAACGCGCGAGACGAGTACAAATATCACGCGATATTTGTACTCCAGAAATATCCGCGAAATTCGCCCACACTGAAATAACAATTTGACGTGTTGGATAATAAATCTCTTATTAAATGTTTTGTTATACAAGCTCGTGAAAATACAGCACAACTCGTAAAAATACTCAGCAATACTACACAACAAAATGTTTAATAATATATATATACTGATGAGAAGGACTTTGTAAACTTGATAGATCCTGAATTTACAATACATTATTTTATTATTAAAACTTGAAGACTTTATTTGCCAGGCTGAAGATAGAGCAAATCAAGCTGAGGCAAAGGTAGTAGAACTGGAGAAAGAGATTGATAACTTGGATGGTAAGAAGTTCATTGATTAGATAAACATGAATTGACTTCATCACATCCAGGCTTCATTGAACATGAAATAGAAAAGAAGCTGGTTCTTTAGCTAAGAACAACTGATGTAGATCTCTGTGTCTGTATTTTGCCCTGAAGGAGTCGCACATAGTTGCATTAATGGTTTAAAAAATATGCAAAAAGAGTAAAGGACTAAAAGGAAAAAGCCAAATAGGAAAGGCAGACCAAGTAAAAAGTATGGTGTAGTGCTTTTAGCCAGATTCTGTTTAGGGTTTTCATTTAGAAATGCAGTGGCATGAGAGAAGTATGAATTGAAAGAGAAAATTATTCTCTCCACATCTGAACAACAAAATGGCCCAAGCTATGAATATTTTGTCAGAGAGTTTTGTGATGACCATTGCCTAAATAATGCTGTGCTTTTGTGTGTTTGTTCTTTTTTCTTTTCCTATTGTATCTATTTCTGGACTTTGAGATGATTTTTTTTTACTTATTTTATTTCAATTTCTGCAGCTGAACTGGAACAGTCCAAGAATGAATATGCCAAAGTGAAAGAGGAACTGGATGCAACAATGCAGGAGTTGAGTGAAATGTAAAAA